AATCAGACCCAGGATAAGATGGCTGATAGTTTGAGCTTGTACATCTTTCCTGTAGCTAACACAGCCTTGAGCGCGTGTGTGTGTGCAAAGCCACTGTACCTCTGGGAAGCCATTCCTACTCCAAGATGAATAGATGCATCAGTGCAAAACAATATCACGCTGTATCTTGTTTTCCCACACATGGGTCCTTTGCAACCCATTTCTGGCTGGTGTGGACTCATTAATTAGATCCTCCAGAAGGAGGTTAACTACCGTCAAATATTTTATGCATAATACAGCCAAACTAGGAATAGAACCCAGAAGTCTTGACTCCCAGCCCCCCTCTCCCCCAACTCCCCTCCTGGAACTGGAACCCACAAGTCCTAACTCCCAGCCCTCCTGCTCCCCTGGTCTAATCCCTTAGACCACACTTCTCCCAGAGCTAGGAAAAGAACCCAGGAGTCTTGACTCCTACTTCTCTGCCTTCATACCACCTATCCTTAGATATAGTGTAAGGTCTTTCCCCCATAACTGCGACACAATGTCTTATAGCAAGCCCCATGGATATGCAGCCATTTCTGGAGTGCAGCTGGACATGGATGGGAAGAAAAGTTACAGCCAAAGATGCCATGGGAAACCCTTTCACTAAATGAAAGGGCACGGATGTCAAGGTGGGTCTGTTTTCCATGCCAAGCAAACATGGGCTTTCATTTTGAAGGTTTTATCTTGGAAAGCAGTGACTGTAAAGGATATAGGGGGTGGGGGGGTCATAGTGGACAAGCAGCTCGATATGAGCTGCCAGTGCAATACAGTGGCCCAAAGGGCTGTCTCATGGTGTGTTACTCACCAACGGACTGGTGCCTCCCCCAGGTCGCTCTGGGGCTGAGCTCAAGGTAGACAGTCTGCACACTGCCACTCGATCTCTGCCGTCTGCCTGCAGCCCCTCTCGCTGCCTCAGGAACTGCAGCGTCCTCTTTATGGCTCAACCCTCTGGCCGTGGCACTGTCCATGTCCCCCTTCTGGGAGAGGTTTAGCTCCTCAGTAGTCCAGCCACTTCCCCAGAGGTGACTGCAGAAAAAACTGTCCTCCTACTTCCACAATGGGGAGACCCAGGCCTGTCCACTATTCCAGATCTGAGCCCAGGGACCCTCTGATCCACAGTCACTGTGTTTGTTTGCATTTCCCTGGATCACTTCCCCGGGGCTACAGCAACTGCCTCAGTCTCAGCAGCTCATCTGGAGCTCCTTCCCCTCTCCCTGGGGTCCTGCCTGCACTGCTCTGTCCAAGGTGCTACAACATTGCAGCCTACTCCAGATACAATGCTGCCTACTCCATATACAAAGCTGCCTACTCCAGCTCCAGGCAGCTACTCACCCTGCTCTCCTCTGTCCATCCTGCAACTCTTCTTATATGAGTCTGCTCGGCCCTGATTGGCCACTCCTCACAGCCCCTCTCCTATTGTCTGCTTTTCGCTCAGCCGCCCTAGGGCTTTATTTACCCCTTACTGGCCAGTGTGAGGTGGATGCCCCACCACAGGCTGATCCAGTCCTGGGATGCTGTAACAGGGTGCACTCTGAGCACACCTGAACACTAGCTCTCAGATTGTCTCCAGGCAGGGAGCCCTGGGACACTGCTCTATCCCAGAGCAGCGATAATGTCTTCATCCTCTTGGGGCTTCCTGGCTACAGCTCTCCAGTTGGGCCACTAAAGTTCAGTTCTCCTTCTGGGGTGCCTCAATGTTCAGGCCATTTCCCCCCAGTGGCTAGCAGGGTGGGGGACCCAGGCCTGCCCACTACTCCAGCTCCCAGCCCAGGGACCCTGTAGATCACAGCTGTCTGCTGTGTCCCTTTAACTATGTCACACAGTTTCTCTAATTCCCCGAGTCACTTCCCTGCAGCGTCTGCACCTTTACCTCAGGGCCCTGTCCTAATGGAGTCCCAGTAACCAGCTCAAGGTGCCTTCTTGCTCTCCCTAGGTTCTGGCAGTGCTGCCCTGTTCAGGGTTCTGCAACTCCATCAGCCCTCCAGACTCACCCCCTACAGCTCCAGCAAGGAACTGAATTCCCTCTGGCCCTGCAGTTCATCTTATAATAGACCCCTGGGCCCTGATTGGCTGTGTCTCACACAGTCACTCTAGGCAGCTTGGAGGACCCTCTCCATTGCCCTGTTTTGGGACAGGGTGTGGCAGGGCCACAAGGCCTCCAGCAGGGTGCTTCAGAGGGTCTGGTATATCCAGTCACAAATGCATAAAGAGGGGAGTAGTGAGCAGGAGGAGGGAGGTTATTTGACCTCTGTATAGGACACTGGTGAGACTGGTACTGGAATAGTGCGTCCAGTTCTGGGGTCCACATTTTAGGAAAGATGTTGGTTAAATTGGAGAGTGTGCAGAAAAGAGCCACTGAGAAGGGTGGAAAAAAGCCCTGACAGCAAGAGACTTAAGGAACTTGATCTGTTTAGTTTAATCACAAAGAAGATTAAGCAGTGAGTTGATCATGTATGTAAGCACCTTCCCACAGAGAAAATCCCAGGTCCTAAAGGGCTCTTTAACCTTGTGGAGAAAGGCAGACTAAGAACCAAAGGCTGGAAGTGAAAGCCAGACACATTCCAATACAGGACACATTTTTTTCAAAGGGAGGGTGATTAACAATTGGAACAACCTGCCAAGGACAGGGGTGGATTCTCCATCAGATCCAGACTGGCTGCCTTTCTGGAAAATGCTTTAGTCAAACAAATCAATGAGGGGCTCAAAGATACAGCTGTCCTGAACTCTGCTGATCACAGGCAGAGAAAGCAAAGCTACATGGCTGCTGGTCTGGTTTAACGCTCAACCCCCAGATGTTTTTAAATCACCTGGCACTTGCCAGAGTCAGGCCCCGCCCTGCACCAGTGCCCACTCCGTGAGTAACACTTTCAACCATCTCCGGCTGGCTCGGAGATGTTGCCCCAGCCTGGCCAACCATGACCTGGCCTCAGTTATTCAGCCCTGGTCATTGCTCAGCTCGACCACAGCACTGCAGTGACCTGGATGTGATGTCTTCAGCCCTTAGGAAACTCCAGCTGACGTGGGCAGCTGCGGCGTATCTCCTCAGCAGTGCCGGCTACTGTTAACATATCAGCCCTGTCCTCTGTGCTTTGCCCTGGCTTCCCATACAATGGTGAATCAAGGTCAAGGTCTGGGTCCTGCAGGCTCCATGACTTGCACCTAAGGTACCAAGAAGGCCGCCTGTAATTCCAGGATGGAGACCCCCACTCTGCTCCTCTGGCCCAGTGGCACTCCTTACACTAAGGGTAAAGCTCATCTGTGCGAGGCGACACATCTTTCGGGGAGGGGGGTGTTGTAGAATGAGCTCCCTGAGGAGCTAAGACCCATCCCAAACCTCACCGCCTTCTACTCCAAGTGCAAGGTGCCTCTCCTTGCCCTGCCTTCTCTAATACAAATAGAGAGCAACAGCTATATTAAAACACCCTACCAAAACAAGACATTCCACTGCTCGTGGTTCTCCCCCTGGGAGAGGAGGGAAGAAGAAACCCTATAGGACATCTGTGGAGTCATGCTGCTCAGTGGCCCACTGGAAGGTGCCCAGATACCACTGTGATGAATCCACACAGAACAGAATGAGAGCAGCCCCAGTGCTGCTCTAACTACACACTCCACTTCCCATGCCTCACTCCCCACAGCTTCTCTCCACCCTGTGACAGCCAGAGCGGCTATGTGGGTTTTGCTAGAAGGCGTTGGTGTAGAGCTCAGCAAGGGGAAAAGATGCCATCAGAGCTCGTTGAAAATTCACCCCCCGCATCCCCCAGGAAAGTTTAAATGATGACAAAAACAAAGTATTGTTTGTTTTGTCAAAAATGTCAGTGGAAAATTTGAGAGAAAGAAGGTGGGTGAGGTAATCTCTTTTATTGGACCAACCTCTGTTGGTGAAAGAGACAATCTTCCAGCTTACACAGAGCTGAAAGCATGGCTCTTTCACCAACAGAAGTTGGTCCAATAAAAGAGATTACCTTACCCACCTTGTCTCTTTAATATTTTCGGACCAACATGGCTACAACACCACTGCGAACAATGGAAAAAAAATGTCAAAAAAACCCCCAAATTTTCTATGAAACCCACCAAAACACATAAAATGTTCTGCCAAAAACCATAACATTAAACCTCCCAAATAGTTTTTGGCAGAAAAATGTACATATTTTGGCAAAAAAAAATTTAAAAAGTAAAATTTTTCAGCCAAGAGCTGCCTTAAACTGTAAAATTTCCTGAAATATACTGAAAATCACTTTTGTGGGTTGGGAAAAACACAATTTTTTCCCCATCAGAAAAAAAATCAAAGCAAGTTTTCTGGGGGAAAATCAAAACGAAAACAAAACCTTGAACAAATTTCAGCTAAAAGCCACTGAAAACTGGAGAGAAAAAAATTTGTGAAAATCCACAAAAATTTAGTTTTTATTCTAAAATAACAATAATAAAAAAATCACCCACTGATTCCTGCCTCAGGCCCATAACAAAATTTGTGAAAATCCACAAAAATTTAGTTTTTATTCTAAAATAACAATAATAAAAAAATCACCCACTGATTCCTGCCTCAGGCCCATAACCTGCAATGGAGCAAGTGTGTGCATTTTAAACAGAGACTCTGGATCTTGATTTACAGACACCAAGCAATAGTGAATCCACCCCATCCCTAGGTCAAATGTTCCAATGGTTAACTGTTAAAAATTTGGGACTGAATTTCTCTCACTTCTGCCCCCAGCCAGCAGATCTCCTGCCTTTGTCTGCTACATTACAGAGCTCTCTGCTCTGAGAGCCGCTCCTCCATGTAAGGTTTCAGAGTAGCAGCCGTGTTAGTCTGTATTCGCAAAAAGAAAAGGAGTACTTGTGGCACCTTAGAGACTAACCAATTTATTTGAGCATGAGCTTTCGTGAGCTACAGCTCACTTCATCGTATGTAGCTCACGAAAGCTTATGCTCAAATAAATTGGTTAGTCTCTAAGGTTCCACTTGTACTCCTTTTCTTTTTCCCCCCATGTAAGTACAGTGCTATAGTCCACAACCTCTTCCCAGTTCTCTTTGTGAGGCTAAATAGTTCTAAGTCTTTCAGTGGGATGCCACTCCCAGCCTAGAGGTGATGTAATACTTTATACAAAAAAAGAGTCCTTTTGCTGGTATAGCTTATACCATTTCCCTGAGCAAAATAAGCTATAGACTTTTATGCCAGTATAAAAATGTCACAAAAATATCCCCCACTTCATCCAGCATCATTATACCAGGAGAAATTTGTAGTGCAACCTGGCCGACAATGAAAAGTGATATTGACATAACCATGCCCGACTGACAGAGATGCCGACCAAATCCCCAGTGCAGATGCTACTATGCCAATGGAAGAGGGCTTCCATCAACGTTGCTAATTTCCTTTGGGGACGCAGTGTTCCCGTACTGGCAGGAAAACCGCCTTCTGTTGGCATAGGCTGTGTCTACACACCAGGGCTAGGCCGACATGGTTTCTGCAGTGTAGATACAGACATGGAGATACTGAGGGTCTGTCCCCCATCTGTATTTATTCAGAGGGATGTAAAGCCAATACAGAGTCTGAGATGTGCTAAGATGGACAGGAAACAACAGGTTGCTTATGACATGAAAACAATGCTCCAGTCTTTACTACAGCACCCTGCTGCTCCTCTCTAGAGAGTATCTGGGATGTCTGTGCAGCCAGGACTGGGTTAGCAGCCAGCTGGTTTAGAAGCATTTTAAAGGCAGTTTTTAGTGGTCTCCCTCTTTCACAGTCTTTGCTGGTTGATTAACCTATATGGCCCCCATTGCACCCTAGGGGGAACTCCCAGGTTGGAGCTGGGGAATGGGGGTGGCTGGCCGCCAGGACTCCTGGGTTCTGTTCCAAGCTTCAGTGCATGGGAGGGAGGTCCAGTGGGCTGGCGCAGGGGGCCTGGGAGTCTGGAAGAGAAGCCAGGAGTCCTGATTCTGCCAGACAACACACTGCCGTTCCACGACTGGAGGATAAATATGCACCCAAAAATACATGGCTCTCAACAATCAAAAGTCTCTCCAGCATGTCTCCTTCCAGTAAAACCATGCTCAGGCCTGGGCCATTCGCCAGCAGTCTCTGCCCAGGCCCCCTTACGGGATAACAAACCATCTGACACAAAACTCCTGCTCTTGTTGGTTGTAGGATTTTCACACCCAAGGTCCTGCCAGCCGGGGAAATTCACCCCCTTCCCTACGGGGAGCAGAACCACCCACCCTTCAGCCGCGCCAGCGGCTAAGTGAAAGCCCGCTAGGCTCCCGCTACAGCCCCCAGACTTTCCGCCCTTGCAAGGGGCGAGGCAATGACCCATAATCCCCCTCTTTGCTTCCCCATTTACATTCCTTTCCGGACCCAGACAAGGGGCGAGCTCCAGGGTAGGAGCGTGTAAACCCGGCTCGCCGAACCCTGGGCGGCCGAGCCGAACCAGCCGCCGGGCGGGTTTCCCGAGCGCCTGAAGCGCCGCGATCCGGCTGCCGGGCTTTACCCCGAGCTTTTGCCGCCGCCGCCGCCTGAAAACTACAGATTCGGGGGGGACGGGGGGGTCGAGGATCCGGGAGCGCCCCAGGCCGGGAATGGCCCCGATGGACGGCCCCTGACGAGCCGGGGGACCAGTCTCCCGACTAGGTACGTACAGAGCGAAGGCCGCTTGCCCGGGGATTTCCCCCCCGGAGCTGGGGCGGTGCGCGAGGCCTGCCGATCTGCGGTCCTGTCCTCACCCCCACACAGCCCTGCCCGGCAGCTTATGCCAGATTTAGCCACCCTCCCCTCCCCGCGCCCGCTGCGGGTTCGCCCCCCCCCCGGGGGGCATCGTGCTACGGGGTGTGTGTGTGTGTGTGAGTGTGTGTTGGGGGAGGGGGGCGGCGTTGACATGAAGCCTGTCTGCGGGGCATCTTTCCCCCACACTTCGGATTCCTAATAGCTGGAAGGGACACGAAGCCAACCTCTAGCTACTGGGGTCAGGAGCAAAATCTTACCCCTCCCCCTATAGGGCAAGTCATCCCGCAGCTGCAGGGGTCCCGGTACTTTCCTGTGAAGCGGCGGGTGCTGGTGGCTGTTCCATTCAGCCCATGGGTTTTATCTAGCAGGGCGGCTCCTATTATTAAAAACCATCTACAGGTGAGGAATGCCGAGCCTGGAATGCCAGCCTGGTTTCCCCCTTACATGGCAGTTGCCCCAAGGAGACAATGTTTGGGCTGTGCCCACTGTAGGAGAAAGGGGACATTACAATAAAATGTCACTAACAGCAGCACAAGTTTTCTATTAGGACACCCAGCTGAAATCAGGGCCCCATTGTGCAGGATACTGGCCCCCTCTTTCCTTCCCGGCTGAGATCAGGGCCCCTCTTGTGTCAAGCACTACACAGACCCCCAGCTGAGAATGTGGCCCCATGGTTCTGCACCAGACCCCGCTCGACCGAGATCAGAGACATCTGTTGTGCCAGGAGCTGCATGAAATAAGACAATCCCTGCCCCTAAAAGCGTACGATCCATCATCTTTTGGACAAGCTGAATTTTTAAGCAACCTAAATTTGGGGGCAGTTTTGAGCTGGGTGGCTCCCTTCAAATTAGGCATTTAACTAGCTGAGACAGTCTCCCCAGAAATCTCTCCCATATTTATTAAAATTACATTTAGGTGGTTATGGCTGAGTGAACTGAATATGGTTCTGGGAGCCAAGACTCCAGGGCTCTAGTCCCAGCTCTGGGAGGGGAATGGAACCTAGTGAGATGGGGGGCAGGAGCTGGGAGTCAGGACACTTGGGTTCTATCCCCAGCGTTATTAAGTTTCCCTTGGATTCTGTCTCCCTGTCTTACCAATGGCTGATCAGGGTTTTCTGGGGGGGTTGGGTGGGAGGGTCTCCTGTTTCTCCTCTAGATATTCCAGCCCCCAGTGCCTGGCACATCCCTTCACCTCCCACTCCAGGGCCATCATGGAGCTGAACGGGAAGAAGAAACTTCATGCTCTTTCCTTGGCAGAGAAGATCCAGGTGCTGGAGATGCTGGACGAATCCAAGATGTCCCAGTCAGAGGTGGCCCGTCGCTTCCAAGTCTCCCAGCCCCAGATCTCCCGCATCTGCAAGAACAAGGAGAAGCTGTTGGCTGACTGGTGCAGCGGGACAGCCAACCGGGAGCGGAAGCGCAAGCGGGAGTCCAAATACAGCAGCATCGATGAGGCCCTGCTGTGCTGGTTCCACATCGCCCGCACCAAGATGTGGGATGTCACGGGGCCCATGCTGCTCCAGAAAGCCAAGGAGCTTGCGGACATCATGGGCCAGGAGTTTGTGCCTAGCATCGGCTGGCTGGTGCGGTGGAAGCGCCGTAACAACGTCTGCTTTGGCCAGCGACACCCGGCACGAGCTGTCCACGCCCCGGAGCCCCTGTGCACCAAGGGGCCGGCGCCGGCTTCCCTCAGCCTGCCCCAGCTGCTGAAGGATTTTGCCCCGGAGAACGTTTTTGGCTGCGGGGAAGTGGTGCTCCTGTATAAGGCCATGCCTGGCAGGGAGCGGGAGGGCAGGGAGTGGCTGTGCGTGGCGCTATGCGTGAACGGGAGCGGCACGGAGAAGCGGAAGCCCGTGGTGGTCGGCAGGCGGCTGGCTCCGCGCTGTTTCTTTGGGGTCAACACGGAAACTTTGCCGGTGCTTTACCGCAGCAGCACCGACGGGCAGCTGACAGCAGAGCTCTTCTCCGAGTGGCTGACAGACTTTGACCGGGAGATGGGCCGGCAGCACCGCAGTGTGGCGTTGGTGCTGGACTCCGAGCGGCGCTGCCCCGAGCCGGAGCCCGCCAACATCCGCCTGGTCTTCCTGCCCCCGCGGCCTCGCCACAGCGACGGCCCCTCGCCCTGCCCGCTCCACCCTGACATCGTCCGGGATTTCAAATCCCGCTACAAGCGCAGGCTTCTGGGCAAAGTGTCCTCCATCGGCAACGAGACCGACAGCTCCCCCGCCTCCATCGCCGCCTCCATCACCGTGCTGGACGCCCTTCACATGGTGGCGGCCGCTTGGGACAAAGTCCAGCCCTCCCTGGTGGAACGGTGCTTTGGGGAGGCTGGCTGCTCCACGGGGAAGGGGTCCCTGGGACCCTCCAGCCATGACCCCCCCAGGGGGATGAGCCCGGAAGAATTCCGGCGCTTCGTTGACATGGAGACAGAGCTGGCCTGTGCCCCAGCCCTGCCCCCAGCCAGGGCCTACAAGGAGGAGGAAGAGGAGGAGCGGGAGGGGGAGGACCTTTTTGGCAGCCTGCCCACCAAGGCCGATGCCCTGAAGGCCCTGGGGACCCTGCGGCGCTGGTTCGAGTGCAACGGCTCGGCCGAGGGGGTCTTCCGGCAGTTCTACAGCTGCGAGGAGGAGGTGGAGCGGCTGTGCTGCCAGTGAGCGCCCAACTCCCCACACTGCCTCCGGCGGCCTCCCAACACTGGAGCATGGAGGGGCTGGTGACCCTGTACCGCACCGACTCAGTGCTTGGAGAGGGGGATTCCAGCCCAATCGTGCAGTGCCCGAGCGCTAGGGGGCTGGAGTCATCCCCCACTGGGGGGCACGAGGGACTGGATTCATGTCCACATTCTCTGCCATGGCCTCTGAGAGCTGGTTCTGGGGGAGAGGAATTGGAGACCGGCCCTTTTCTTTCTTCTGGGCGCACCTTTATGGGCATATAAAGATCTGAAAGAGCCCACATTACTAGTTATTGCTGTTACCACCACCCTCAGCAGGATCCTCAGCCAAATATTTTCCACTGGCAATTCTGGGGTGCCCCCATTTCAAGGGTGTCCTGCTAGTCACCACCCCAAAAGGGGCCAGGCCTCTTTAGAACTCAGGCTTGAGTCAGGTTTGTGTCGTCTTAATGAAATCACAATTACCGCAACACTCCCCCACTCCCGACTCAGGCTTGGGAACTTTTGCCCACAGAACTGCACTTCTGCATGAAATAAATCCAAGGAAGAAAGAAAGGGGGAAGTTGAATTTTGACAGTTTTTCTCCCAATTGTTTGAGCTCTAGGCATTCAACAAAAACAAAGCCAACCCCCCGAAAGCAATAGCAAAACCAGCCCGATTGGGGAGAACAGCCCCTGGATTAAATGGATTTCCTTTCTAGGCACCTTATTATCCTTCAGCTTCCCAGGGATCCAAGGAAAGGGAGGAAGAGAAGTGATGTTCTAATATGAGGTACTACACCACCCCAGAGCCAGCAGCCTCTGATCTTTGGATGGGAAGATTTAACTTCCACGGCTGCAGAGGTGAACAGAAGTGGGGGTCAGGAGGTAGGGCACTGGTCTGGAAGTCAGGACTCCTGGGTCCTATTCCTAGCTCTGGGAGGGGAGTGGTGTCTAGTGGTCAGAGCAGAGGAGGCTGGGACTCAGGATTCCCTGGGTTCTATCCCCAGCTCTGAGTGGGGCGTGGTGTCTACACTGCAATGTAAGCCCAGAGTTTGAACTCAGGCCTAAGCCCCCTGCCATCTACACACAAATGCACTAACCCAGGGCCAGAGGACCCCACAGGAGTAGAGGGTCCAAGCCTGAGTTAAGCTGGGACCCAGGGTTCAAGCCCTGTTGCTTTGCAGGGTAGAGTCCCATTGGACTCAAGCCCTGGGAGTCTGCCAACGGTCTCCCACAATTCCATGGGTCAACTTTCTTTGTCCTCTGGACAGGCAAGGTTTCCCACCCTGCACCACGACCAAAGGGCTAGAGCAGCCACATTTTGGGAGGGTGCAAAGAAGTGTGGGACACAGTAGTTGGACTCGGGCCTGCATCATGCAGCAGCCCTAGGGTGGGACCCAGGGTTCGACCCAGCAACAATTCCTAATCTGGGGTTACAAAGGAGTGTAGACACTCAAGCCCTAGGTTAGCAAACCCAGGATCTATGACCTACAGTTCCACTAACCCTGGATTGACATTTCAGTGTAGACAGGCCCTGGGAGTCCTGACTTCTTCTGGGCTCTATTCCCGGCTCTGCCCCTGACCTGGAGCAAGTCCCAAATCCTCTGTGCCTCAGTTTCCTCTCCCACCCTTCGTCTATTTAGATTCAGCTCTTTGGAGGCAGGAACCATCTCTCACCAGGTGTAGAGGGCCCAGCATAATGGGGGTTTTAAGTGCTACCGTAATGCTCCTAATAAACGAGAAAATACCTTTAAAAAGCAAGATAACCAAACCAGACTTACAGGCCATAAAGAGGAGCAGATGCCTCATTTTATTAATTCCCCCTCCCCCACCTTCTTTTCAAGTCACCTTTAAAGAAACACACGCTGTAAAATGGTACAATATTTCCTATGGAAATGGTACTGCCACAGGGAGCTGGACCCACAGACAGAATTCCTGGCTTGCCGCACAGACAATGGCCGATGGTCCTATTTTTCCAATGGAAACTTAACTCACTGTCGGGAGAGTTAAACATGCCCAGTTTGTTCTGCTGCAGAAAGATGACAGCCCCAGGATTGGGGAGGTGTTTTTGCTTTGTCCTCGGTTACCTGGAAATACCAGGATAGCTTTATGGGAAAGCAGTGGGAGTCAGGACTCCTGGGTTCTATCCCCAGGTCTGGGCAGGGAGCTGAATCTACTGAGTTAGAGCAGGGTGGGCTAGGTGTCAGGACTCCTGGGTTCTGTTTCTGGCCCTGTCACTGACTGGAGCAGTTCAATTTGCCATTCTGTGCCTCTTTTTCCTCTCCTTCCCTCCGTCTATTCAGGCTCTCAGCTCTTGCAGGGACTGTGTCACCCTGCGTCTGTGCAGCACCTGGCCCAAGGGGGCGGGGGAGGCTCCCCAGTCTTAGACCGAAATGCCAGGCACTCTCAGACCATAAATAATTTACTCACATACCTGAGTAGTTTGCAAGATCAGGGTCCTTCTACAGGAAGAACAACAAAACCTTGTTAATAGACTGCAAGGGCCATGGAATATCATCTCATGTGCCCTCCTGCGCTGGGAGAAGTGCGAGATTGCAAACTTCAATCCAGTTCAATGACCAACGTTTCAGGCTCTCCCCTGAAATGAGGGTATCTGTGCTGTTGGCTCTGAGCTGCAGTCAGTTCCAGCAAAAAGACCACCCTTTGCAGAGGAGGCCGTTAGTAGGTCTGGGGCCGTGGTTCCAGAGCCATAGGTGCTGGAACTAGGGGGGTGCTGTTGCACCCCCTGGCTTGAACTGGTTTCCATTATATACAGGATCTGCAGTTTGGTTTAATGGCTCAGCACCCCCACTATACAGATTGTTCCAGCACACATGTTCAGAGAGCCCCGTTTACTTCAGGGGTTCACCCCACTAAGAGCTGACTGCAGGGCCAGGGTCTCCCTGAATTCACATACAACTCCTTCAATACCTAAGATACACTAGGTTTGGACTCGTCCTCTCCAAAATTTCCACCATGGTTGTCGCTGCAGGAAAGCAAACACCGTAAACCAAAGGGGGGGGTTTGCCTTGCAAAATTTTGACAGAAATGAATAAAAATCATTTTGATTTTTTCAGCAAAGGTTGAAAGACTTCTGCCAAAACCCAAACTTTGTCCCAAAAAACCATGTTGATACTGCTGCCGCCGTGTTTCATGGGAGTTGTGTTTCAGTTACCTCATGCTCCCATTCTCCTTTATAGGCCAGGCTCCCTAGTCAGACTACATCTCCCATGATGCACCGCTGTCCTCCCTCTTGGAAGGGTGCTTCACTGAAAACGTAGTCTGTCTGGAAAAGACCAGCCCATAGAGGAAAAACAAGGACAGGGGGCACCCGAACTAAAACTCCCATGAAGCATTGCAGCAGCATCTCCACATTGAAATATTTGATTTTTGACAAAACAAAACAAAACACACCACACCAAACCAATACAAAAAATGCGCAGACATTTCCCAGGGGAAGCAGGTGCTTTCTGCAAAATATTTTCTTTAAATCAAAACCCCAACTTTCCATGGATAGCCTGGGTTTCCTGCAGTCACAGTCTCCAAGTACCTGTGTGGGGAAGAGAAATTTGATAATAGAGGGCTCTTCAGTCTATCCAGCAAAGGCCTAACATGACCCAGCAGCTGGACGTTGAAGCCAGACAAATAAGTTCCAAGGAACAATTGATGAAGGGCTGTGGTGGATTCTCCAACACTGGCTCTTTTTAAATCAAGACTGGATGTTGGTCTGACAGATCTGCTCCAGTTCGAATAGGAATTAATTGAGTAGTGACCTGTGCTATACAGGAGGTCAGACCAGATGATCACAATGGGCCCCTCTAGTCTCAGAAATCTAGGAATCTTGTGAAGGCTAGGACTATAACTGTGAAGGCTAGGAATATAACAGGGTTTAAAAGAGAACTGGATAAATTCATGGAGGTTAAGTCCATTAATAGCTATTAGCCAGGATGGGTAAAGAATGGTGTCCCTAGCCTCTGTTTGTCAGAGGGTGGAAATGGATGGCAGAAGAGAGATCACTAGATCATTACCTGTTAGGTTCACTCCTTCTGGGGCACCTGGCATTGGCCACTGTCGGTAGACAGGATACTGGGCTGGATGGACCTTTGGTCTGACCCAGTAGGGCAGTTCTTATGTTCTTACTTGCCATCAGTACCACATGGGTATGTGATCCCACCATTCCAATTCGCTTGGCACTTCGCAGCTACACGATTCCCAGGGATACAGCCAATGTTTTGGATTGGCTCAAGTGGCTGGAAAGCAGTCTCACCGCCCTTAGGAGTTCCAAAATCATGAGCCAGCTGAAAAATCATCATGCTATTGCCTTAAACAAATTGTTTTTTTGTTGAAACACACACTTGTCACCCCTGAACCTACTGTCTGGGTTTTCAGTTGTTTCCAAGCTTCTCCCTACACCCACAGCGCTGGAAATATTAAAATTGCCACACACACACACAGCATTGGTTTCACTTAAACTGGTTTTTGGTTTCCAGCTGGTTTAGCCAGCACCTGCAAATTTACTGACGCAAGCTAAGCTTCTAACTGGGTGTAGAACTGCAATACAAGCGTGTTCCCACTGAGTTGCATTAGTTTAATCAAGCCCATGTCTATACAGAAGAGTTGTGGCTTAGTGGATAGAGTACTGGACAAGGATCTGGATTCTATTCCTGTCTCTGCCACTGGCCTGCTGGGTGACCTTGGGCAAGTCACTTTAGAGCTCCAGGCCTCAGTTTCCCCATCTGTAAAATGTAGCCAGTGATACCAACTCCTTTGTAAAGTGCTTTGAGTTAGTTTCATAGAGAGTCTAAAGCCAGCTGGGACCATTAGATCATCTAGTCTGACCTCCTCTAGAAATGCAGGCCATTCAATTCCATCCAAATACCCCTGTATTGAGTCCAATGACTTTAGTCTCCTGAGGACTGTGTTTTAACTCCACTGTTGAGTCCCAGGCAGAGAGCAGGAGAGACGGAGGGTCCCCGAGGCCTCTGTGAGGCAGGGATTGATGAGGTGAGACATGCCTGGATGATCCCAGCAGGCGGCCCACGCCTGGTGCTGCAGCAGATCTAATGACAAGTGCTGTGTGAGAGTTAGGTATGTTTATCCTGCTACAGCTATTCCTGTATGGGAAGGGGATAAATACACTGGGGTAAGTCACCATTATACCTTTAACTGCCTCCACACTAGGGCTTGTACAGGTATGAATAGAGCAGTTAAAACAAGCCAAACAATCACATCTGTAACTGACATAGTTTTACCAGGGACAAAATCTGAGCATACACTGGTCTTACATGAAAGTCTC